CCCTCCCTCCCTCCCTCCCCTAGTAACACACCTCCTCCCACAGGGCCCAATCCTCCTAACCCTTTGTAACAGTCCCACTCCCGAGTAGTGACTCAGTATTCAGTCATGTGACCCTATGGAGCCATTCTTATTCAAACCATTACAGCACTCTCTACAAACCAAACACACAGTGCCTGAGTGGGTACAGGGAGCCAGCCTCTGGGTATATAGGGTACGGGGCACACAGGGCCACAGAGGCCAGAGGGGCCTGCTCCTGTTTCATGAAGTTCAGAGGGCAGGTGCACCCTTCCTGAAGGCCTGTTCCATCCTGCATCTCCCCACAAGCCCTTCTGAGCAAAGCCAGGAACCAGATGAGGAACCTGACTTCCGAGTGATAGGTGGAGCTTGGAGCCAGAGAAAATAGTTTGCAGAACCCAAACCCTCACACAGCAACCCCCTGTCTTTCCCAGAAACTGAGAGCATGCACATCCTGGACCTCTCCGGAGACCTCCCAGATGCGCTGGGCCAGATCTTTGACAGCCAGCAGGGCTGTGACCTGTTCATTCAGGTGACAGGGCAAGGGCACAGGGATCTGACCCTCTGTGCCCACAAGCTGATCCTGAACACCAACTCGGAGGCCCAGGCCCTGTGGCACGCAGAGGGCAGCAGCGTCATCATGAGAGTGGACGTGGACTGCATGCCCGTGGTCAGAGACTTCCTCAGGTAGGGAGAGGCTGGGCTGCACGCTCCTCTGCCCCGCTTTCCCGCTAGGGCATCCCTGCGCTGCGGTGGGGTGGCAGAGTGGCAGATCTGCCCCTCATACTCAAGCATGGGCTGGTGCAACACACATATCACACATGGGTGCATGCTTCTTCACACTGCACACATCTGCCCTGGCAGACAGACGGTGACAAACTCTCCCACCTACCTCAGTGTCACGTGGAGACACACCGCAACACTTGCTGCATGTGCTAATGTGTTAATGTGAGCACACATTAACACCCAGATGCTCCCTGCTCTTACATGGAAGCATTGAACACTCATACATGTGAATACTCACCACCTTTGGGCACACACACACACACACACACACACACTTATGTATCCAGATGCTCCCTGCACCTGTATAAACACGTTCTCATGCATCCAAACCTTACTTTTACATGTGCCTGTTTGTCTACTTATCTTAATCACTGTTCTATTCCTGTAAAGAGACACTATGACCAAGGCTGGTTTTCAAAAAAAAAAAAAAAAAGCATTTAATTGGGGCTTGCTTGCAGCTTCAGAGGTTTAGTTCATCGTCACCTTGGTGGTGGCAGTGGACCTTGGTAGAGCCGTAGCTGAGAGCTTTACCACCTGATCCACAGGCAGAGAGAGACTGGGCCTGTCATGGGCTTTTGAAAGGTCAGAGCCCACCCCCAGTGACACATCTCCAACAAGGTCACACCTCCTAATCCTTCTAATCTTTTCAAACAGTCCCATTGCCTGGTGACTAAGCAATCACATATGTCTGAATGGGGACTATTCAGACCACCAGAGCACTCCTACCATAAAGCACCCCATACACACTGAACTGGTGTGCCCACGTGCACTCCCACCCACATTAAGTGCACACAGATACATGCATTTTCACTATACGACTCTAAATACTCCAAATCCTGTAAGAAGGGTTTGGTATTCTGAGGTTGTGACTTCAGCATGGAGTACTGGCCTGCAGTTTGCCACCTGGGAGCCACCTGGGAGGGCGCATGGAAATAGAGTCCAGGTGGGAACTGGCAGCATGGAATCCTACAGCAAGGCTGGAATGAAGTCCCAGGCTTCCCCTCCCACTCCCTGGGGCCCTTAGAAAGGCATGGACAGTATAGGTAAGATGCACGCATGATCCTCCCCTCTCTATGTCATGTGTCTTAGGTACGATAGAGATACAATGTGAGGTTCCTGTGTGCTTGTTTGTGTGGTCCCCACAGGGTGTATGCAGAGGTCAGAGGACAGCTTTCAGGAGTAGCTTCTCCTGTGGGTTCTGGAGACCAACTCAGGTCATCAGATGTGGTAGCAATTGACTGGCTGCTGAGCCATCTTGCCAACTTCAGCGTAAGAGCCCTCCCTTCCCACATTATCGGTCTTGCTAAGAGAACAGCAGGGAGCCATGACTTTAAAACTGTCTGTGAGGGAAGAGGGAACGCTTGCCCCTCTGAGGAGCCTCTCAGACTACCCCATACTTACAGATGAGAGTAGAGACAGTTAGTGGGGTCCACATCCCTCCCCAGACTCTGCCACGACCCTTCCCTCCATACCTCTCTGCTTAATTGTCAAGATTACACAGGTTCCCCACCCAGGAGGACTCTGAGGTTTGCATTTTGAAAGCAGTGGTTCTTTAAAATAGAACATTTATTAAAAAGTACCCTCTCTCACCCTTATGACACGATTCTTTATATAATGGAATCTGACATTTATAAGAATAATACTGGCAATTAAACCCAGATTAGAACCATTTGCTCCCAGCCTAGTGTGCAAACCTGGCAGGGTTCCTGTGTCCTCCTGGTGAATTCTATGTCTAAGACACAGTGGAGGGTGGAGCAGATGTCATCCCTGCCTTCCTGAACCCCCTGCCCCACCCCCAGCTGTGGCCTCAGGTCTGGGCTCCTGTTATCTCTCTCTTTCTCCCTCTCCCTCCCTCTCTCTTCCTCTTTCATCCCCCCTTTCCCTCTGAGGATGGACACACACACACACACACACACACACACACACACACACAGGTTCAGCCACAGGAGACACAACAGTCCCCTAGACTCCTCCCGCTGTCCCTCGAGCCTAAAAGCTGGCTTTGGGCTTTTCCCCTCTCTCTCTCTGCATATGTGATTTTTACTTGAAAAGGATGGGCAGGGTGGGGAGGCCCACTCTGATTTCTGGAAACTAAGACTGGGCCCTGAGTAAGGGAGCATGGGAGGGGCATGAGGGCAGAGAGGCACTCACAAGAACCCTGGCACTTCCCAGCCTCCCTTGGCACTTAGAGATAGCTGCTAGCAGTCTGAGGGACCACTCTGGTGTGGGATGAGGATTAGAAATTGGTGCCAATCCTTCAAGAGCAGGGAGAGGTTGGTGGTAGCATCCTACTGTCCCGTGCCCTCCCTATGAGGTGATTTTATGCATGGTCTACCACGAGTTGTGTGCACCAGCCCTGAGGAGAGAGTTGCCATCCCAACCTCTGGGGTGCTGTGAAGCCAATGGCAGGAACCCTCAACTCTATTTGAACATTTATGGACCAACAGGGAGGGTGTCACTCTGGACTTGGTGGGCTCAGACCCTCACATGGCTCATAGTCCCAGGGAAGCAGAAATCGGGTGACCAAATCATCGGGTGTCATTATCACCTGACAGAGAGCAGATGCTTGGGGAGAAAGAGGTACCCACAGGAACCCAGCAGGGTCCCATGTCTAGACCTCTGCTGTCCAAGGCTCACAGTGACATCAGAGTGACCAGGAGATGTAGGTGGGAACCCCTCAGGTGAGGGCATTCACAGATGAGGAAGAAAGTGGCTGTGAGTGTCATTGCCAACAACTATCCACCCTGTGGCCCAACACCCAAAAGTTGCTGTCAGTTGGCATGAGAATGGAGGTGAATGCTGCCACTAGTGGCGGCACCCTGGCGTGAGGTCAATGGTGAAGGTGTAGTAGGTAGCTGTGTGGGAAAGCAAGCCAAACAAAAGCCCTGCTGTCTGTCAGGGCAGGCTTCCATTTCCTAACCTCCCTCCCACCCCCAGGTACTTTTACTCCCGAAGAATCGAGGTCACCATGTCTTCTGTTAAGTGCTTGCACAAGCTAGCCTCTGCCTACGGGGCCACACAGCTTCGAGACTATTGCAGCCGGCTGTTCGCCACCCTCCTCCCCGAGGATCCCACTTTCCACACGCCCCTGGAGCTCTATGAGTACGCACAGGCCACCAGGGACTCTGTGCTGGAAGAGCTGTGCGTGCAGTTCCTGGCCTGGAACTTTGAGCCTCTGACACAGGTTGAGGCCTGGCTGAGTGTTCCCACCACCTTGCTCCAGGCTCTCCTCTCCAAGAGTGAGCTGGCTGTGTCTAGTGAGCTGGACTTGCTGAAGGCCGTGGATCAGTGGAGCGCGGAGAGTGGCGCCTCCCATGCTGAGGTGGAGGGCCTGGTGGAACAGGTCCGCTTCCCCATGATGCTGCCCCAGCAGCTGTTTGAGCTGCAGTTCAACCTGTCCTTGTACCAGGGTCACCAGGCACTGTTCCAAAGGAAGACCATGGAGGCCCTGGAGTTCCACACTGTGCCTTTCCCAGTACTGGCCAAGTACAGAGGCCTGAACCTCACGGAGAACACCTACAAGCCCCGGCTTTACACCTCCTCAACCTGGAGCACCTTGGTGACAGACCGTTCCTCAAGGTCACAGGGTGCGCAAGTGTATGGGTACTATTCATATGGCTATGATTCAGTAAGTCGGTACTCCCCCTACCGGTCCTTCCAGACCCCACAACACCCCAGCTTTCTCTTCACGGACAAGCTAATCTCCTGGTCGGCCACCTACCTCCCCACCGTCCAGAGCTGCTGGAACTATGGCTTCTCCTGCACCTCTGACGAGCTCCCAGTTCTGGGCCTCACCAAGTCCAGCTACTCCGAGCCTATGATTGGCTATGAAAACAAAGCACTGATGCTCTGTGGAGGTCACAGTGTGGTGGATGTCACCAACTTTGCCGGCTCTAAGGCTCCTGTCCCCAGTGCCCTGGATACCAATAGTTCCAAGATTTCTTCCCTCTTTCCCTGCACCTCGGGGGCCTTCAGCGGCTTCCGTGTGGTCATCCGCCCCTTCTACCTGACTAACTCCACTGACCTGGACTAGATGGTCCCTCTCAGTGGTGGGAACTCAGACACCCACGTGTCCCCTTCTGTGTAGCCACTCCCAGCAGCCTGCCACCAGATTCCCTCTAGCCTCCACTGTCTTTATGAGCCTTAAATTTTACTAGGTTTCAGCCAGCATTCACTCCAGTGCTGAGAGTCCCCGGGGCTCCATTGCAGGCACAAGCAGGTTCTGTGAGGTCCAGTGGGTAGCTCAGTCTGCTAATCTGAAATCATTAAAGTCACACATGCTTCTCACCATGCTGACTCATTCATGCAGGAGGTGTTGCTGGCTTCCTCCAGTGTTTGAAGGGCAGGTGTGCTGGCTTCTGGGGGACAGGGAATGAGATTGTAAACCCTTGGGGGAGGTGGACAATAACGCCCCAACAGCCCAGCCCTGGCCCTCGGCCTCCTCAGAGGACAGAGTGGGATGCAGCCGCGGGTATCAAGCTGGTGAGCACAGGGCTGAGCTGACTGAGTATAGGGGCGTCCTTGAGAAGAGACTGCGCGCTGGGACTCAGAGACTAAAGAACAACAGCAGGAGACGGAGGAGGGTACCTGCAGGGAGGAGGAAGCAGCATGGGGAGCAGCAGTTCCTCCAGAAAGCTTTGAGCCTGTGCCAGGCCCGAGAGACAGCCGCACCCCAGCATCTGTAAGGATGGAAAAGTGGGGAGACTCTGCATGCATCACTAGGTGCTCAGTCAGTCAGAACAGAAGATGGAGCACCAGAGGTCAGGGGTCAGGCAGAAGAGGGGCGCTGGGTGAGCTGTGGGGCCCCCGATTGTCTTCGATGCTTTGGGAGGAGACATCCTGTGAGAGGGTCACCTTTGGGTCCTGGGTAACGGATGCCTCCCCAGCTCCTTTATGACAAGTGTGTGTGTGTGTGTGTGTGTGTGTGTGCCTGTGCGTGCGTGCCCGTGGACACACACACACACACACACACACACACACACACACACACGTGCACATGCGTATGCCCTCTTGTGAAGGCAGAGGTTACCCCCAGGTCTCATTTCTCAAGATCAAGAGGTCACTCATCTTGGTCAACTTTCCACAACCTAGAAACATGAGGAGAGAGTCTCAGGGTGGATTACCTGCATCGTGTTGGCTTGTGTGCACATCTGTGAGTCAATTACTGTGGGAAGACACAGCCCACTGTGGGCTGCACCATTCCCTAGGGAAAGGGGTCCTTACCGGTACATAGGAGAGTCTCAGGGTGGATTGCCTGCATCGTGTTGGCTTGTGTGCACATCTGTGAGTCAACCACTGTGGGCTGCACCATTCCCTAGGGAAAGGGGTCCTTACCGGTACATAGGTGAAGAAAATGAGCTGAGAATGAGCAGTGAGCGTGTGCGTTCCTCCTGGGTGTCCTCTTGATGAAGAACTGTAGTGTGGAACCGTGGACCAAAACGAGCCCTTTCTCCTGAGTTGTCTTCCTGTCACAGACACAGAAATGGAGCTAACACAACTTGTACAGAGCTTGCCTGGCCCTCCCTCAGTGTTGTCTGACTTACCGTGAGCCCCATCTCTCCTGTCTTCATCAGAGCTTCATGGTGTCAACACTTTTTTAGCTTCAGCCATTCTGGCGGGTGTGTAGGTATCAGCCGTGCCTTCACCACTGTGACCAAGTGCCTTGAGCCAGTTAGTTTAAGGGAGAGAAGGGTGAATTAGCTCACACATCCAGGGGCTGAATTCAGTCCACCATGACTTGATCCCAATGCCTCCTCTGGCTCCATTCATTACAAATCCTCTGGATGCAGTCTTCTCATAATCCTGCAGCTTGAGAGCAAGCCTTCAGCACAGGGGCTTCCAGGGGCCAATTTTAGGCTCAAGATACTAACAGTAACTCTGAAGTGACCAACCCCCATCTGCCTTCCTCATCCCTCTCCATCTGCAAACCCACCCTGCTCAACCCATGGGACTGCTCTTTTTTAGACTCCAGATGGTCAGGTCTACTCACTGCTGCACAAGGGTGCAGTGGCCTGGGGGTGCTGCAGACTGTCCCCTCAGCTCATAGGCTTGGGCAGGCTCGCACCGCAGGAAGAGGCTCTCACATTCGGAGGGAAAGTTAAATACATCACACAGCTGCAGAGCACTCTGGAGGCTGAGACAGGAAGATCACAAGTTTTTAGGCCCACCCAGGACACTTAGTGACCTTACCAGGCCAGCCAGTAATTTTCAGACCTTGTTTGAACAAGCAAGTAAATAAATAAGTAAAACGTATTCATGACTGTTCTGGCTGGTTTTATGTCAACTTGACACAAGCTAGAATCATTGGAGAGGAGGGATCCTCAATTAAGAAAATGCCTCCAGAAGATCAGGCTGTAGGCCAACCTGTAGGGTATTTTCTTACTTAGTGTTTGATGTGGGCAGGCCTAGCCCATTATGGGTGGGGCCACAGCTGGGCAGAAAGTTCTGTGTAGTAAGCTTTCTTGTCAGACAGCTCCCCAATAATGACGTGGAGACTTACTGTTAATTCTGAAACACTGACCTTTAGCTTAGGCTTGCTCCCAACTAGATCTTATAACTCAAATTAACCTGTTTCTACTCATCTATGTTCTACCATGTGGCTTTTTACCTTTCTTCCATTCCCTATGTCCGACTCTTTCTCTGTCTTGCTGGCATCTCCCTTGTGTGTCTAGATTCATCTCCAGTCCTCCCCACCCCTTGAAGTCCTGCCTAGCTACTGGCCATTCAGCTCCTTATTAAACCAGTCACAGCAACACATCTTCACACAGTGTAGACAAACATCCCTCAACAGTTCTGGGTTCTATGAGAAAGCTGCTTGAGCAAGCCGTGGGGAGCAAGCCAGTAAGCAGCTCCCTCCATGGCCTCTGCATCCGCTCCTGCCTCCAGCTTCCTGCCCTGCTTGAGTTTGTACATCAACTTTACCCAGTGATGGACCACAACGTGGAAGTCTAAGCCAAATGAACCCTCTCCTCCCCATGTTGCTTTGGTCATGGTGTTTCATCACAGAAATAGAAACTCTAACTAGGACAATGACATAATATAAATACAAATACAAGTTAAAAGAAAACAAGTAAGACTTGAAAGATGACTCAGAGGGTAAAGGGGCTTACAGCTAAGCCTGAGGTTCAGTCCCTCCCCAGGACACGTGCACACTAAATAAACAAACTCAATTTCTTTGTTTGGTTTTGTTTTTTGTTTTTGTTTTTTTTTTGAAACAGGATTTCTGGCTGTCCTGGCACTCACTCTGTAGACCAGGCTGGCCTCAAACTCACAGAGATCTGCCTGCCTCTGTCTCCCAAGTGCTGGGGTTAAAGGTGCGTGACACTACTAATCTGATCGTCTCAAATGTAATTTCTAAAATAACATTTTCATTTAATTATTTGAGAATTTCATCTAATATATTTTGATCATATTCATTCCCCTGCCCAACCCCTCTCTCTACACACACAACTTTGTTTTCTCTCTGTGTGTCTCTGTCTCTGTCTGTCTCTCTCTGTGTGTCTCTCTCTGTCTCTGTCTCTTTCTCCCATTGAGTCCAATCTGTGTTTCCCCGATACTCTTGAGTGTGGAGCCTGTCCTGGACTGTGGTTGACCTATCAGGAGTCGTCATTAAGGGAAACCAACTCTCCCTGACCCAGCAGCTATCAAAGTGCTGATAGTGGTAGGGGTGGGAAATCGTACCCACCTCCCCTTCATGCTGGGATTGTGTCTCAGGCTTGAGCTTACTTAGGTCTTGTGCATGCTGCCACAACTGCTGTGATTTCAGACATTTGCAAATGCCCTGCCACATTCCCTTGTAGCCACCCAGAACCTCTGGCTCTCACACTCTTTCTGCTTCCTCTTCTTGGATGACCCCTGAGCACTGGAAGTGTGACGAGGACATCCCATTTAGGACTGAGCGTGTCTGTAGTGGTTTGAGTGAGAATGGCCCCTGTAGGCTCATACATTTGAATACTCAGTCCCCAGTTGATGGAACTATTTAGGAAGCATTAGGAGGTGTGGCCTTGTTGGAAGAGGTGTGTCACTGGGAACAGGCTTTGAGGTCTCAAAAGCCCATGCCACTCTCAGTTAGCACTCTCTCTGCCTTTTCCTTGTGTCTCAGCCACCAGTCCAGTTCCATGCCTTCCTGAACTCTGAAACTTTACTCCCCAGGCAAATTCTTGTGTAAGTTGTCACAGTGCCATTATTCTCTGTGTTGAGTACTTGCAGATGTCTGTTTTAAATGCCGTCTACTGCAGAAGAAGCTTCTCCGTGAGGGTCCAGAGGTGCACTGATCCACGGGCATAAAGATAAGTACATACTTCTAATCCCAGCACTTGGGAGGCAGAGGCAAGGGGTTCTTTGTGAGTTCAAGGCCAACCTGGTCTACTTAGTACCAGGATAGCCAGGGCTACATAGAGAGACCCTGTCTCAAGAAAAAAATATACCGAGTCCGTTTAGGAGATTAATGGTCCAGCAGGTTCTCCCCCAGGACCTATGACCTGTCCAAGCCACCGGTTCACATGCAGTTTTTTTTTTTTAATCCTTAATAAAATTTTAAAAGAAAAATAAATAAATAAAAACTAGAAACAAGTAGCCTTTGGGAACCTTCTGTCCAGGTGATCTGCAGAGTCTGTATCCTACTCTTCCTCCTTCTTCAAGTGACCTCAGTTCCCTCCCAGGACACCCTTCCTTCTCTAGGCAGAGCCCCTGCAGTCAGGGAGGGAGGACCCCTTTTCTTTGCCACATGGAAGTCTGGGGTGGACCTGTGCCGGCTGCCCTAGGGAAGAGGCTCTCTTAGGGAACCCCCTTAGGGAAAGCATTCACTTGTACATCTATGACATCGCTCTCAAAGTCTGGGACTGAAGAGGTGGCTCAGAGGTCAAGAGTGCATATTACTCTTGCAGAGGACCCTGGTTCAAATCCCAGCACCCACATGGTGGCTTGCAACCCTCTGTAACTTCAGTTCCAGGGGATTAGATACCTCTGTCCTCCAAAGGTTTCTGAACACATGAGGTGCACATAAACTCACACAGCCATACATACCTAGGCATGAAATAACATGAATATGTTTTAAAGTCCCCTGCATCTCCTCGTCCTTCACACCACCATGCCCTCAGCCTTGGCTGGCTCCCCACTCTCCTAAATGGAGGGGCCAGGCAGTGACCTCCCAGACCTCTGAGTTCTGGAGGGACTTTTGCTGTGTCAGCTGCTGGTCTGAAAGAAAGCCACTGGAGGGCACCAGAGTGGAGCTGAGCAAGCTGACCACAGAGGCAGCTCTGAGTCCTTGCCTTTGCTCAGTGTCACACT